TGTCTGCATCGGCGGAGGTGCATTTCCTCCTCCTGCCTTCGTCCGGTCTCGTCTCTTCCTTCCACGTGTTGCGCCCTTTTCGCGCGTCGCGCGGGTGTGAAAAGCAACCTCTGCTGGGTCGGCGTCTCGCACGCCGTCGGCCAAGGCTTGCAGCGTCGTGTGATCTACCTCGTGGTGTCGTGTTGCGCACTTTCGCGCTCTCAGAGTTGGCTGCCACATCATCGTGGGGCAGTCCATCCCGTCCTACCCCGACCAATTCGCGGCGTTACCCGGCGTATTCCTATGCAGTTTGGTTCCCCTCTTAACGGTGTCTTCGCCATATGTCAAAGCCTCGGCTTCGCACACTTTCGGTGTGCCTAGTGGTATGGATGTTAACAATTGGCTTGGCCTCTACCGCCTTGCTGCCCTGCTAGCGTACGTATCCTGCCCCGCGCTTCTCGGTCTCAACCGCGACTTGGTCATCTCAATGGCCCTGATGTTCTCTGAAGTGTACGAACCAGGTGTGTGCAGCCCGCCTATGTACTGCAAGGGGCATTCATTTCCGAGGAGGGTTTCATCGGGGTGTGCTTCTTCGAATGCTTCGTCGTGGAGTGCTTCATCGTGTCGTGCTCCATCGCGGCGCGCTTCACGGTGGAATGCTTCGTCGGGGAATACTACGGTATGGGGTACTTCATCGGGGCATGCTACACCGCGCGTGTCTCATCGCGGCGTGTTTCGCGGAGGCGTGCCTCCTCGGGGACGCGTGCTTCATCGTGGAGTGCTACATCTTCGAGGGTTTCACCGAAGGCCGCTTCATTCTGGCGTCCTTCATCGGAGGAGTGTTTCACGGAGGCGTGCTTCATCGTGGCGTGATTTACGGCGGCGTGCTTCACGGAGACGTGTTCACAGAAGCGTGCGTAATCGTGGAGTGCTGCATCGTGGAGGTCACCGGGGTGGCGTGCTTCATTGTGGCGTGATTCCTCAGGGAATGTTTCGGAAGCGTGCTTCATCGGTGAAGGTTTCATGGGGGCTTCTTTGCGACGTGCTTCTCCCGGAAAGCATGCGTCACGGAGGCGCTCTTCAGTGGCGTGTTTCATCTCGGTGAGCTTCACCAGAGCATGCTTCATTGCGTCGTGCTTCTTCGGGGAGTGCTACATTGCGGAGTGCTTCTTCGAGCGCTAACGTATGCGTGACTCTGGCCATAAATCTCCCATAGGCGTGTCCTCCACGGGCAACCACACGTTCTGCACCACTATATTGCATCGAAATGGGCTCCTCGAGTGTTTCGTCGGAGTACGCTTCATTGTGGAGAATCACACCGTGGAGTGGTTCATCGGGGAATGCTTCTTCTTCAAATGTTTGTCGTGGAGTGATTCATCGTGGAGTGCTTCTCCTGGCGGGCCTCACCGTCGAGTGCTCCGCAGGGTTGTGCTTCACCAACCCGTGCTTCATCGGGGAGTGAGCTTCATTGCGGTGCGCTTCCTCGGGGAATGCTTCATCACGGAGTGCTTCATCACAAAATGCCTCATTGTGCCCAGCTTCGCCGTGGAGCGCTTCATCGAGGAGGTTGGCGGCATTCGCGGTCACCTCGCTCGTGCTGGAGTCCCTCCTTTCCTGGGTGATGACGTTCAGTGGGTCATCATCTCTGTAGTCTCCATGCCTCGTGCCGTCCTCGGGCCCGTACTGCCTGGCTGGAGTCGCTCTCCAGTCACCGTTGGCCGTCACACCCGCGCGGCGGGGTGCAGACACCACAGGGTGTGTCGGTCCATCGGGCAGCCGTTGCATCTGCACCGCGCGGTTGCGGCTCCCCGTCAGAGCCCAATAACGTGCTGGCCTTATTCATCTCCAGTATTCCCACAACACGCCACCGATCATCATCATGATGACCATCATCATCAGCAGCATCATCATCACCATCATCATCATCATCATCATCATCATCATCATCATCATCAGAATCGTCATCAGCATCATCATCATCATCATCAGAATCGTCATCAGCATCATCATCATCATCATCATCATCGTCGTCACCAGCACCATCACCATCATCATTATCAGCAGCATCGGCATCAGCATCATCATCAGCATCATCATCGTCATCATATCATCATCCTGATAATCATCATCATCATCATCATCATCATCAGCATCATCATCAGCATCATCATCATCATCATCATCATCATCATCATCATCATCATCATCATCATCATGCCTTCTCCTGGTGCCCTTTGCTTCCTCCAAAGGACTTCCTGTTGTCTCGTGGAGGCCCCCGTGACCTCCTGGAGCCTCCTGGTGCCTCCTCCTGGGGACTCCCCGGGCTTATGGGACGTCCTGGGGCCTCCTGGGGAACCCCTCGGGCCTCCTCGGACTTCCTAGTGGCTCCGAGGCATCCTGGGGCTTCCGGGGGCCTCCTGCGGTTTCCTGGGGTCTCCCGGGCCTCCTGAAGCTGCCTGTGGCTGCCTGAAACCTCCTGGGGCTTTTTGTGGCCATCTGAGGCACTCCGAGGGCTCCCGCTCAAGACTTCCCCGCGATTCACTCACAGACGAGGCCCCCGCCTGAGACTACCTCGCGAGTCACTCACAGACAAGGCCACCGCTCGAAACTTCCTCCTGACCCAGGCATTGGGAGCCCAGAAGTGACGGCAGCCACAAGATTTGGATGACCGCCTCGGATTACTAACATGAAGCGGGCGCCCCATAGGGAGGGGGCTTCCGCTCGAGGCTTCGTCGCGATTCACTCACAGGCGAGGCTCCCGCTCGAGGCATCCTCGCGGTCAAGGATTCAAGCCTCAGAAGCCTAAAAAGTGGCGACGATTACAATTTGTTGGATAGCTGCCTCGGACTGGTAACATTGAAGCGGGGGGGCTCCCGCTCGAGACTTCGTCCCGATTCACTCAGAGGCGAGGCTCCCGCTCGAGGCTTCTTCGCAAGCCTCAAGAGCCCAAACGTGACGACCGTTACAGGTTGTTGGTTGGCCACCTCGGATTAATAACATAAATCAGGTGGGCCGTAGGGAGCGGGCTCCCGCTCGAGGTTTAGTCGCGACTCACTCGCAGGCGAGGCTCCCGCTCGAGACATCCTCGCGAGTAAAGCCTCAAGGGCCCAAAAGTGAAGACAGCCACAATGTGTTGGATGGCCGCCTCGGACTCATAAAATGATTCGAGACTTCGCCGCGATTCACTCACACGCGAGACTCACGCTCGAGGCGTCCTCGCGATGCAAGCCTCAAGCGCCCAAAAGTGTGGACACAGTTCCAGGTTGGTGGTTGACCGCCACAGATTAGTAACACGAAACGGGGGGGCATCGGAAGGAGGCTCCCGCTCGAGGGTTCGTCGCGATTCACTCACAGACGAGGCTCTCGCTCAAGACTTCCTCGAGATGAATGTATGTGTGAGTGTGTGAGTGTGTGAGTGCGCGTGCGTATATGAGTGAGTGGGTGAAAGAGAGAGCGTGAGTAAGTGCGTGGGTAGGTGTGAGAGCAGGTGTGAGTATGCGTGATGATGATGAAAGTGATGATGATGATGATTATGAGGGTGGTGGTGATGGTGATGGTAAGGATGACGATGGTGACGATGATGGTGAGGATCGTGAGGATGCGGATGATGACGATGGTGAGTGTGGTGGTGATGACAGTGATGATGTGTGTGTGGGTTCCTCTGGTTCATATTCCTACGCGGTTCCTCTGCGAGGTGCCCAGGGAAAGCCAGAGCCCCACTCTGGATGTGGGGGATAACTGCCTCGATCCTCGAGCCAGCCCACCCCCGATCCAGAATCTGCGACTGCGTCAGCTGCATCATCAGGCTGCGGTCTTCCTCGGACACCACGGCCTCCTCGCTGGCGCCTCGGGGCGATTCCCGCGGGGGGCGGGCTCGGAGGGGGAAGACGCACGCCCTTGCAAGTCGATGTGCAGTCCGATGTGCGAAGATCCTCCTCCCCCTCCTTAAGCCTCCCTGCCTGTGGGGAGGGGAGGGAAGAGGAGATGGAGGAGGAGGATGACGACGAGGGGAGAGAGAGGGGAGAGAGAGGGGGGAGGCGGGAGGAAGGGGGAGCTGCTGAGGCCGCTGCGGGAGGGAGTTCAGGGGGAGTCGGGTGAAGTGGTGTGGACACCGTGGTGTCGGCTTGATTGGGGGGAGGGGCGGACAGCGCTTGGAGACCATATGGACAAGGAGGCCGAAGAGATCGCGGAACTGGATCTATCAAAAATAATCATAGGATGCCGAGGGTGTGTCGCTGTGACAGGACGGTGACACAGAGTCAAGCCACGCCATCCATTGCAGCCCCGGCAGCTCTCTTGCTGTAGGCGATCGACTCGATCTTTGAACAGGTGGATGTGGCCGCTGGCTCTAGGAGTAGAGTCGGACGTGTCTGTGTCGATCTCGCTGGAAGGCAGATCGACACGCTAAATTGCACATGGCGTACGTAGAGCGCCCATGGTCCCCGCGACCTCCTGCCAGTACACAAGAGGTTCAGCTGGAGAACGACGCGATGTAGCGGAGTCTACGGTACTCGCCTATGGAAACACAATTTGTACGCGACACCGTGAGCGTCGGGCAGAGTAGATTTTCCTCTCGAGGTGCTAATGTCGATGACGAGTTGGAAGATACTGACCGAATCCCCTTCCCCCATAGAATCTTAACACGGGCGGGTTCCGGGGTCCGCGGATCCGATGTCTTCCGGCTCCACGTTCTAATTTGACCATCTGAATTTAAAACGAAGTAAACATCGGATCCACCGTAACAAAAAAAGACCGAACACGGATCCAGCAAATCCGCAACCCGATCCGCGCGGACGGAAATCGGATCCACCGAAGCAGACGCCAAAGCCACAATTGGATCCGCGCGAACTTCACAGGATCCGACGGCGGATACCTCATGCGCGTCTGCTCAAGACTTCAAACTGTCGCTCCAGGCCCAAGAAGGAAAAATCGTCCTGGGGATGGGCGTTTTGGCCTTCGGACTTGTTGATTACCACATAGCCGACACACCACATCTCACAGGCAGTCTGTTGGGTCAGGAGACGCGCAGGGCAGAAACGCACGAGCATTTTGGCCTTCGGTGTTTTTGTTACCATGTAGCCGACACACAACATCCCACAGGCAATCGGTTGGGTCAGGAGACGCAAAGCCGAAACGCGCTTACGCAGGACGAATTATTTTCCTCCTGAGGTGCAAATGGCGATGATGAGTTGGAAGAATGACCGAATCCCTTTCACCCGTAGAATCTGAACACAGGCGGGTTCTGGAGTCCGCGGATCCGATTTCTTCCAGCTTCCCTCTCTAATTCAATAATATGACTCTGAAGCGGGTTAAACATCGGATCCGCCGTAAAAAAAGACCGAACACGGATCCAGCAAATCCGAAATCCGATCCACGCGGACAGAAATCGGATCCACCGAAGCAGACGCCAAAGCCACAATTGGATCCACGCGCGTCTGCTCAAGACTTTAAGCCGTCGTTCTGGGCCCAAGACGAAAAGACTTTCGTCCTGGGGATGGGCGTTTTGGCCTTCGGACTTGTTGATTACCACATAGCCGACACACCACATCTCACAGGCAGTCTGTTGGGTCAGGAGACGCGCAGGGCAGAAACGCACGGGCGTTTTGGCCTTCGGAATTGTTGATAGCCGACACACCACATCTCACAGACAGGCGGTTGGGTCAGGAGACGCAAAGCAGAAACGCACTTACGCAGGACGAATGATTTACCTTTTGAGGTGCAATTGGCGAGGATGAGTTGGAAGTTCATGACCGAATCCCCTTCCCCCGTAGAATCTTAACACGGGCGGGTTCCGGGGTCCGCGGATCTGTCTTCCGGTTCCCCGTTTTTTGTTTTATTATAAATTCAAAGCGGGGTAAACATCGGATCCGCCGTAAAAAAAGACCGAACACGGATCCAACAAATCCGAAATCCGATCCGCGCGGACAGAAACCAGATCCACCGAAGCAGACGCCAAAACCAAAATTGGATCCGAGCGAACTTCACGGGATTTGACGGCGGTCATCTCAAGCGCGTCCGTTCAAGACTCAAGCCGTGGTTCTGGGCCCAAGAGGAAAAAACTGTCGTCCTGGGGATGTAGTGTACCTGGGCGTCGCCAGCTAGAGACAAACGCACGTGGCGAGCACAGTAGATGGGAGAAGTGATCCGCAGTTGGGCAATCCATAGAGCAGCGCTGGACATTCACGGCCAGTCGCATGCGATGGGGCGACAAGTGAAGCCGAAACGCCCAGGCTGCGCGGACTGAACCCCGTCAAAAACTGATTACAGAAAGGACAGAGCAAGCAAAGTTCGAGCCGGCGTGGCGCTGTACCTTCAGGTGCGCCTCTTCTGCTCGAAGACCTCGCATTGGGAGCGTAGCGCTGTGGTCAGTATGTATTCGTCCAAGCTGAAAAACAGCAAGGCACTCACCACGAACGTACATTTCACAGGGAGCACTCGTGCTTACGCGCTGTCGCAACTTCGCAACAGGCGCGCTGTCCGAGCGACGTCAAGGCGACCGCTGGGCTGGTTTTGAGGGCACGCGCTCTCGTGCTGTGCCAGGAGCTTGCTGCTCGGAAAACCCAGCGGGCTTGTTCGGGGCACACTGGTAATCCCAAACTGCAGCCTGTAGCGTGAGCTACATCAGGTACAAATGCGGCTTGTTCTGGTTGGCTGGCGGTCAGAGGTCGGCAGTGCTGTTTCGACGTGACTCTGGAGCGCCCTCATGCAGCGCCGACGCGCTCGGAGCGGGGTCAAGCTGCCCACGTCGCGCCAGCCCCATCGCATGGCACTGCGGTGCTCACACGGCGGCCCACGCAGCACAGCGCATGCACATCCAGATAAAACAAAAACAGCCCATAGCTCAAGCGCGGCAGCGATGCAAGGTCACCGAGTACGGAGTCGGCGGCAGTATCGATGGAGGCCACCACGATGCCAATAAGAGCGCCTTCGATTGAGCGCTGGACGCGCCCGCATAGTCGTGCGCCCGAGGCTTAGCAAAAGGCAATCAGCGCAACAGATCGAAGTGGGCGCAGCACAGGATCTACAGCTGCGTCGCGATACTCGTCAGGCTTGAAATGGTAGAGGTCGAAGTTGATTGGGATATGTACAAGTATCGCTGGCGGATTGCGGCGGTGGGGCCACAGCGGCGCTGGCGATACTTGCATCGTCAGGTGTCAGTTGTTAATTCGCGTCGGTCCGTAGCTGTTGGCGTCGAGGGTCTGGGGGGCCTAGCTGCGGTCACGGCCGAGGGTCGATGCGATGATTGGCCCTAGAGCTCGTTCAGCTGGTCAGTCTCCGATACGTCGACTGCGACCTGAGCGGCGCTGCTCTACTTGCCCCTAACGGTCAGTGGCAGTGATTGCATGCTCGTGGCTCCCGCGGGCAGCGGTGGCAAGCGCTCAAGGGCCCTCGCTCAGCACTGCGAGCGGCGCAAGGGCGACGGGTCAAAGTCTTGAAGGCAGGAGAGGCAGGCAGGGTTTGCGGGCAAGTCAGCAGGAGAGGGCGCAACGTCAGCGGGGCAGGCGGACGGCGCCTTGTTGCCGCGCTCGGGGCCTAGCGGACGCGTCTGAGCAGCGCGGGCCAGCATGCAGGACAACGGCCAGCGACGCGACTAGAGCCCCTTCTGAATGGACCGATGCTCTATGGAGAGCCGTGTATGTGGCACACTGGAGCGGGAGTACCAATGTCGCTGATGCCGGAGTACACCCACCGATGCGACGACAGCGTCGTCTCTTTGACGGAACGTCGAAGAAAAATCGTGAGAGTGCCTGTGTGCCCGCCTGGCAACGAGCCCTTGGACCCGCACAGGTGGCATGCCTACTGCTGCCCTGTTGGGGGTTCCCGCGCAGGCCGCCACGACAGCATGCGGGACTGGCACGCCCCCACACACACACACACACACACACACACACACACACACACACACACACACATTCCTACTCTGATATCTCTATTACCCGAAAACCCCCCACCCACCCACCCCCCTAAACCCGATCCCCCCCTCAGGGACGCCCAGGACACCCCTTCGGACGTTTCAGCGGCCCCCCGGACGCCTTTGGAAAAGGTTCGCTGGCGCTTCCGGGCCTCCCAGGGCGCCTTGTCGGGCCTTGCGAGCAGACCCAAGGCGATCAGCGGGGTCATCGGAGAGGCGCAAGAGACACCCAAGACAGCACCAGAGCGCTCCAAGAGGAACCTCGATGGTCTGAAGACGGCCCAAGAGGCGCCCAAGACGCCCAAGAGCCTGTTAAGAAAGCCCCGAAGAAGCAAACATCGTCCCATTCCTTCGGGAAAATGCATAAGCTTAACATATCCGCTGTTTGGGACTTCGCAGCGTCCAAAGCGGCCCGATTGGCCCCCGATATCGCCCCAAGACGGCCTAAGAGGCCACCCAGAGGCTATGAAGACGGCCCAAGAGGGCCCCAAGACTGCCCAAGACAGCCCCGGGACTGCCCGCAAAAAGCCCAAGATGCCCCAAGAAGGCTCCCAAGAAAGACCCACCAAAGCCATGGGAGAACCCCAAGAAGGCCACTGAAGGCCCCCAAGAGGGCCTTAGATGGTTTCGGAAGACCTCTGGAAGGCCCCAGCTCCATAAGACGGCCCAAAAGGCCCCGGGACGGCCCAAGAGGGCCCCAGCACGGCCCAAAATAGCCCCCAAAACGCCCAGACGGCGTTTTCCTACGAAGCACATCGAGCTGACCCGACGATTTTGGTTCCACGCTTGAGGCTCGAGGTTTCAGTTCCGAGAGAGAACGGCAATGGATCTAGATTCGAAGTTCGACGATCGAAGATTCCCTGACTGCCTGGAGCCTTCCAGGCATTCAGAAAGCTACCAAAAATCGATTTGTTCGGTGTTACTGCGACTTCTTCGGCATGTCATGAGAACGCTCCTTAATTCCTCAAAGGACCTTCGCGCGTGAAATAAAATCATTCCCCCAGCTACTGCGCACAAGCGTGCAAGCGCATCGGGCGAACGCGATGTCAGCAGGCACCATGGATATCAGAAAAATGAGCGAATCGCCCGTCCAGGCTTCGAGGTCCCCCCCCGCTGAAGCAAGCGATGATGTATTGCTTTGCCGCGGAATGTCTGGAACAAAGCGCATGGCGCGAAGCGCCAATGCAGTCTTGTGTATATATATATATATATATATTGCGTCGGCGGTTAGGCAGAAGAACTGCGCTGGTGGAAGAACATATATATATATATATATATACACGCACCTCACGGGCTACTACGCCGCGAAGGAGCAGAGGGTTCCTGGCTGGGACAGGCTGAACCCGCAGACAGGCGGTATGGAGGAGGCAAAGTCGGACGCTTGCACACGAGACCCCAGCACAACCTGTGCACGTGGAGTGGAGCGTAAGCTGCGAATAAGTACAGCACCCACGGCCCTCGCAGGCGAGCTCGATCCAACAACAACGGGGTCGCAGCGGCGCAGATGGTCCACGGCAAGCGCGACCGCTACCCTCCGCAGCACGGGAACTTGGCGCCCTGGGTGTTCGAGTCGGGAGGCCGCCCGTCCGACACGGCCGTCGAGCTCATCAGGTCGTACGGCCATGGGCGCGACGACGCTGACCGTGCCGAGGTCCTCGGGAAGCTGTGGAGGCAAATCAACTGGCGCTTTCAGACCAGCAATGCCGAAGTGCTGCTCAATGCGCTTGGGCGCCGGGCCACACTGGCTTCCTGACCATCGCCGCAGGCACCAGCAGCGGCCGTAGCCGCCACCATGGCGGTTTTGATGGCCGCGGCTGCCACCAAAAACCAAAACCACGACCATGACCACTACGACTCCTGCGGCCGCCCCCACGACCACTCCGCCGACCGGCAGCCACCACGGCCACCGCATGCTGGACGCTTGACCACCGCCAGCACGTCACCGTAACCCGCCGGCACGACCACCAGCCAAGCCACCACGACCCCCACCACGGCGCCCGAAAATCAGCCCACCCAGCTAGGCCTCCACAACGACCACCCCGCCCGGCAGCATGGCCACGCTCGGCCACCGCGACCCCCACGTCTGCCTCAACGCTTGCCTGCGTGGCTGCCCTGACCGACCCCGACCCCGCCCTCCGCCACACGCTCCCCGTTCCCCTCCCCCTGCCAGGCCACCCCTGCAAGAATTCTTTATTCGAAGAACAATTCAGAAATGGAATGCCACGGCCCCAAGCCTCCTAGAGGTCCGGGAAGTGGCTTTTCTTGTTGCTAGGGACCCGGGACCATAACCCCAAAGCCCAGGGGTCCCCCTTGGTGACGGGGGTGGGGACCCAATCGGGTGCCCGTAAGCCTTCTGGAAGGAAGAAGAGGAGGAGGAGGCTAAGGAAGAGGTGGAGGAGGGGGCGGAGGAGGCGGGGAAGAGGAGGAAGAGGAGGAGGAGGAGGAGGAAAAGGAGGAGGACGACGATGACGACCACATCGAGGAAGCCGACGAGGACGACGAGGATCTTGGGGGGAAGAGGGAGGGGAGGACGAGGGAAGGAGGGGAGTGAGGAGAGAAGAACGGTGAAGGCGAGGAGGGGCTCTCGAGGGCGGGCGATACCGGCGGGCGCGGCCTGGAGGAGGAGCGTCCACCTGCCCGGCCCCGCCCAATTCTGCTCGGAGAGGCAGCACTGGCCAGCTCCTCCTCCCGCAGCTCAACCTCCTGCAGCTCCTTCCGATTCCCGCTCCTCGGCATCCTCATGCTCCTGGTGCTCTCCCATGCTGCTCCTGCTGCTGCTGGCTGTTGTTCCTGCTCCTGCTTCTCCTCCTCCTCCTCCTCCTCCTCCTGCCCCTCCTCCTCATCCTCCTTCTCTCCTCTCCTCCTCCTCCTCCTCCTCCTCCTCCTCCTCCTCCTCTTCCTCCCCTCTCCTCCTCCTCCTCCTCCTCCTCCTCCTCCTCCTCCTCCTCCTCCTCCTCCTCCTTCCTCCTCCTCCTCCTCCTCCTCCTTTTTTCCTCCTCTTTGTCCTTCTCCTCATCCTCCTCCTCCTCATCCTCCTCCTCCTCATCATCATCATCATCACCAGCAGCAGCATCATCATCACGAGCATCATCATCACGAGCATCATCATCATCATCATCATCATCATCATCATCATCATCATCATCATCATCATCATCATCATCATCATCATCATCATCATCATCATCATCATCATCATCATCATCATCATCATCATCATCATCATCATCATCATCATCATCATCATCATCATCATCATCATCATCATCATCATCATCATCAGCATCATCATCATCATCATCATCAGCATCATCATCAGCATCATCATCAGCATCATCATCACCATCACCACCACCACCGTCATCATCATCATCATCATCATCATCAGCAGCATCATCATCACCATCATCAGCATCATCATCAGCATCATCACAGTCATCAGCATCATCATCATCATCAGCATCATCATTGTCATCCTCATCAGCATCATCATCATCCTCATCATCATCATCAACAGCATCATCTTCATCATCAGAATCATCAGCATCATCATTAGCATCATCATCATAATCAGCATGATCATCATCATCATCATCTTCATCACAATCATCATCAGCAGCAGCATCAGCATCATCGTCATCATCACAGTCATCATCATCATCATCATCATCATCATCATCATCATCATCATCATCATCATCATCATGTGAAGCATCATCAGCAGCATCATCAGCATCGTCATGATCCGCCTCCTCATCCTTGATCGTTGCTACGACTCACAAAATACGCTTCATCCTCATCATCATCATCAACAACAGCATCATCATCATAATCACTATCATCATCGTCAAAATCACGACCAGAGCACGCGTCGTCATCGTAGACGTTGGGACACTTGGACGACAGTTGCAGGATGGCGGAGGGGACACCCTGGTCATCCTGGCGCAACGACAGCTCGCGCGCATTCTTCACGCGGATTGACTGCAAGCCCCGCTTCGGAATCCACAGGGCGCCCTCCAGATCGTCGATCCGGGCGCTTATGTCCGCGATGACCCTTTGGGCCTCAGCGCCACCCGACACGCAGAACTAGAAACCGCCACGGCCTCCCCGATAGGGTGATCGAGCGCGCCGCGGTGGAAACCACAGCGCTCTGACCGCGCCCAACTGGATATTGGCGGGGTGCCCGCGCACGCCCCGACTCCGAGGAGCTGGACCCCGACGCCGTGCACAACCCCGCCAATCGAGCGCCACGCCGTTGCTCGCCTCAGCCCAGCCAGACACCAGCGGCGCGCTCGTGCACGTCGCGCTGCGTGCCGCGGCTCTGCCCGACCCTGTAAATCCAGGCACCGAGAGAGGTGCTCGACCACGTCAAAGCGGGCACCGTGGTACTGCTCGACTGCACGGACCTGGAACCCATGCAGTGTCCGACCTTGCTCATGCGGGCACTGTGGCACTCGTCGACCCCGACGTGCCAACCACCAGAAAAGTACCCGCGCGCGTTGCGCTGGACACCGTGGCACTACTTGACCCCGTAGAGCCAGATGCCGACGGGTGCTCGGCCAAGCCAGGCAATCACCCTGTAGCCCTCGTGTTCGACCACGTTGAGGTG